TCCACATAACTTGAAGGTTACAAGTGGGAAGAGAATGGGAGAGATCTCCCTACATGAGGAGTAAGAAAGACCCTTTAAGACCCCTTTTACATATTTATAGAAAAATAAAGTGAGGAGAGGGGTATTACATTTATGCCCCTATTTATAGGGAGGCAGTGAGGGATGTTTTAGTCATTTTATCATTACGAAGCGTTTGGTGGCTGACTATTAAGGGCGATCAGACAAGGCAGCCGGCTGGAGCTAGGTGGCCGACCCGAAGAGCTGAAAGGTCGCCCCGAGGGGCAGCTGGCTGACCGGAGAACTTGGTTGTTGACTTGAGAGCTAGTGGCCCACCCAATCTGTTGGTGGCTGACCTGAGGAGTTCGTGGCCGGCCCGAGGGGATGGTGGCCACCGAAGAGGCCGGCCAACTGGAGCAAAGTGGTTGGCCCAAAGAGGGGGAATCCATGCTTGTGCGACTAGTGACAGCTTATCCCGAGTCGACGAGGTGATGTTTTCTGGTATACAATATAATTATTTTTTTTTAATTACCACGTGTGTTTTGAATAGGTTCGTCCCGGCCCTTGATTTTCGGTCTTCTCGATCATTCCCCCCAAGAACATGACGCAATCCATGACATGTTCGAGGTAATTTCTGGAAAAATAACGTAGGGCATGACGATAACTAGCTTTCACCCGTCGTTGGTGCCCGACTATATATAATCGCTCCGCTTCCCACGCCTCTTCAGTACGAAGTCGGCATTTGATCGAGCGAGTTACCTTCAAAAAACATAACGATAAAACAGACATGGTGTCAGCCGAGAAGGGTGTAAAGTTGCTAGACTTCTGGGTCAGCCCATTCGGACAGCGATGCAGGATCGCTCTAGCGGAGAAGGAGGTGGAGTACGAGTACAAAGAAGAGGATTTATCACAAAAGAGCGAACTTTTGCTGAAATCAAACCCAGTGCACAAAAAGATCCCCGTCCTCCTCCACGACGGCAAGCCCATCTGCGAGTCCCTCATCATCATCGAATACATCGACGAAGCCTTCCCTGCCAAAACTCACATCCTCCCCTCAGAACCCTACGCTCGATCCCAGGCCCGATTCTGGGCCGACTTTATCGACAAGAAGGTAAAGCCGAACATTCCCCTCACCTGTTTCATGGAATATCCTTACAAAGTTTTGATTTTGAAGATTATTTGCGCGTACGTGTCAGGTCTATGATTGTGGATCGAAGCTTTTGAAGTCAAATGGGGAGGCGCAGGAGGAGGCGAAGAGGGAATTTATCGGGATATTAAAGACGCTGGAGACGGAGCTCGGCGGGAAGACGTACTTCGGCGGGGATGATTTCGGTCTTGCCGACATCGCGTTCGCGCCATTCACGTCTTGGTTCTACTGCTTCGAAGCTTTCGCGGGATTAAGTGTTGAGAAGGAGATACCGAAGCTGGCGGCGTGGGGAAAACGCGTCATGGAGCGGGAGAGCGTTGCCAAATCTCTGTACGACCCGATCAAGATTTACGATTTCTTCAGCTTGATTAGAAAGAAGTTTGTGGACGAGTGAAATACGCTTGATCAATTATTAATCCAATGAAAGTGAAAGAAAAATTAAAAAAATTTGTTTTAGAACAGGAGGAGAGTATTTCCTCAGTATTATTTCATATTATTCAGATATTATTATAGTAATATTTATATATTATTGTATTTTGAGAATATTTTCATTATTATGATAATATAATAATA